GAAGTTACGGAGCTTTTTTGGGGGAGAACACTACAAATTGGCGGCGTAAGGCTGACGAGATCGTGGCAGCATGGCCGAGTGGATACGTCGTAGAGCTCACGGATGCGTGGTCGAGGGTTTGGATCCTTGATGCGTGTGCTCTTTGCATTTTTTCGAAAGTGGTCCCTGTGCACTTCAAAGCTGTTTTGCATAATACTTGTCCCTGATAATGTCGTTATAAAGTCTGAACTGATGGAGCCATTGCGAACCATTCCATACAGTTCACTTCTGGCTGTTGTCTTCTTCTTTCTTTGATTTGAAAAGCATACACAACAAAAGTGCATTCCAAAGGAAGATTTTGCCTTCAAATGACTTTATTCTCCAAACGACATGACTGGAAAACGAATCCGTACGCACGAAGTTGTGCACGAAGATGAGTATAGTGGGAAAATGCTTCCATATGAAGTGGCGTTGATGTGACAAACATGCTGCTGAAGATCGCGATGGGCAAGAGCTTCATTTACCACTCACATAATGTTGAATTATGTCTATCTCCAAAGTGTTTTCGTATCTGCTGGAAGTTTTCGGCTCGTATGACAATCTCTTCAGCCGGAGGTGATCTCCATGAAATCGTTCGCAATGGCTCCATCAGTTCAGAAACACTACGTCACGACATTATCAGGCACCAGAGTTATACAAAATAGCTTTGAAGTGCACAGGGGCCACTTTCGAAAAAATGCAAAAGCGCACACGCATTAAGGATCCAACCCAAGCGCTTATACGACGTGGCCGTGAGCCTACGACGTATCCACTCGGCCATGCTGCCACGATCTCGTCAGCCTTACGCCGCCAATTTGTAGTGTATTCTCCCCCTAAAAAGCTCCGTAACTTCTTTCTGGGAGGTCCGCAGCAGTTATGGAAGACGGTTTCGTAATTCCCGTCCGAAAACCTTCCAAGCCGGTGTAGCTTTAATTTCAAATGGCGCACTTCGAACACCTACCATCCTTCCCTTGTCAGATGACGTACTACAAAATGTTTTCTCTTAAGATCAATCATTTTTCAATTACCAGAAAATAGTTATTGACCACAACTTTAGGGAGTTCAATCTTTATGCTAACGTTCGTCCTTGTCGATCTCTTGAGGGTCACAAAACCCTTTATGACAATGTTGACGTGGTAACCATTCGCGAGAACACGGAAGGAGAGTATTCTGGAATTGAACACGAGGTTTGTCTTCCAAGAATTATTTGCTGTATTCTGCTGTAATGTTTCTCGGCCATGCAAACTGTGAAGAGGCTTCATGTGATTTCATCAATTCATTTGATTTATTTGTTTGTACTTTTCGTACTTGTGAAGCTGCGAGCTGGTGTACTGCTGACATGCATTTGCGCACTTCTGACGTTGAAATCGAATAATTATAATCACTACTTTTTTGAAAGAACTCTAAGTTACCCATAAACTCCCTGGATCAAGTGGGATTCCAGGTTGCACTCTCGTTTTCCAGAGCAGTGCAGCTATCCCTTTATTGCCCATCAGGGTCGCTCGCATAGAGTGCCGTTCATGATTTTGCGCGCAAAAAAAAAAAAAAAAAAAAAAAAAAAAAAAAAAAAAAAAAAAAAAAAAAAAAAAAAAAAAAAAAAAAAAAAAAAAAAAAAATAAGCGATTCGAGGGCGTACGGCAGGCATTTGAGGCGTTTCATGGTGCAGTCGCTGAGATAAGTGGAGTTACGCTCAAATGCGCAATATGGATATGTATACAGGGGGGGCCAAAAAAAGTCATTTCGGCCGAGCCACATATCAACGAAGTTTTCGCAGCCCAGACAGGGGAAGTGGATATGAGTACCAGAGTGGAAGATACCCAAGATCTTCCTCTATAAGCTGGAGCAGGCTGCCGCCAATCGCCTTCATGTACGCCAAAATATGAAGTCATCTCCAGTCGCGGCCTGACTGGAGAACACCTTTGGAATTCACGTCGCCTCCAAACAGCTGCGAAACTTCTTGAATGAAGTCATCCACAGATAGCTACCTGGAGGTCAGTACTCTTGACCTGCAAGACCTCCCACATCGACCAGCTACGGCAACGTCGCTACGGTCTAGGACATCATCTTCACCGTATTCGCCGAGGCGCGAGTTGATGGTATGGACCGGGGTACCTGGAATGGGAAGACCGATATTTTCTTTGTAGACCCCGACTGAAGGTGAGCGCTGGCGGTTACATCAAGTAACTCGAAGAATATCCTCCCTACATGTGGTCGCCCGTACCTTCTTGGAGACCTTGTGCTGCTACAGGTTTGGGTGCCACCACATGGAATCGAAGGGTTTTGGAAAAACTCCCGCCTACTTGGAATGGAAGGGGCTGAATACCTAAAGAAGGTAGAATATCCAAGTAGGTCACCTGACCTGTATCCCCTCAATTACCCGGTTCGGGCGGAGTTCAATAGGGTGGTCTACGGTGGCGGAGAAATCAACGATCTCACTCAACTCCGGTACCCACTCACTTTCGCGCGGCTGAATCTCTCGATGGCGCTCCTCCAGAAGGCTGCGGCGGAGTATCATTATAGTATTTAATGTGCTCTTTAATATGGTAGTAAAAATGTCCGATAAAAATTTAATAAAGTGTAACTTATAGCGCCTTGAAAGTCATGGAGGCAAAATGACTTTTTTTTGGCCCCCCTGTACATTCTAGTCGGATAACTAGTCGCTCGAAACGCGGCCGTACTCTAAAAACCATCGGCAAAAGAAGAAGAAATGAAGCAGCCTTAGCCCTCCAGCCGAGTGCTTTTGAACGTGATGAGGTGGTTATGGGGCGATATTCGCTGTGACCCGGCGTGCTGGATCCCTACATGTTTTCGAAGTTGTTTTGTTATGGTAACTGCTGTACAACGCCGCAGTTCCCACCGTGAAAGTTATCGCAAGAGTGATGTTATTTGTCTGACCCAAGGCAAACTCGAACCCGCACTTCACGCTTGGGCAAGTGCGCTGTTCGTTATTATTGTTGATATTACTTGAAAAGGGTTCTTATCAGTTCTTCTGGCGCTTTGTGTTTGTTATTTCATCTTTATTGCAGATTGTTCCTGGCGTTGTTCAGTCAATCAAACTGATCACTGAAGATGCGTCTCGTCGCGTCGCCAAATACGCATTTGAGTATGCTCGACAGAATTCGCGAAAAGTTGTCACCGCAGTTCACAAGGGTACGCTCCTCTATTCTCGATCCCTCTTTTCTGTAAATTTCCTGTCATCTTGTGCTTTCAGCCAATATCATGCGCATGTCCGATGGACTATTTTTGCACATTTGCCGAGAACAAGCAGCGCAGTATCCTGACATTAAATTCAAGGTAGGCCGTTCGCGTTATAATCGATGGAAAAAAAGTAGCAGCAATCTGCACAAACGTATAGTTGACCATTTCCATGCTTGTCATTGTTTCATTATTAGTTGTACCTTGTAGGAGTCTTATCTCGACACGGTCTGCTTGAACATGGTGCAAGATCCGAACCAGTACGATGTGCTCGTCATGCCGAATCTTTATGGTGATATCTTGTCCGATTTGTGCGCAGGTTTGGTTGGAGGGCTTGGAGTTACACCATCTGGAAACATCGGCGAAGATGCAGCTGTGTTCGAGTAGGTTTGACTCTTCTTGCAAAGTTTTATAATGCTTGTGACGGCTAGAATAGGTATTTGGGTTTGATTCAAAATCTCCAGGGAAACATGAAATTTTCAGATCAGTTCACGGCACTGCTCCTGATATTGCCGGTCAAGATAAAGCTAATCCTACAGCTTTGTTGCTATCAGCTGTTATGATGCTGCGGTACATGAACATGAACTCGTACGCGCAAAAAATCGAGCGCGCTGTATTCGATTCCATAGCTGACGGAACAGCAAAGACAGGAGATCTTGGAGGTAACTTTTATTTCGATATTTTTGAACTCAATTATTGGAAGCATGAGTTATGTAGAATGCGCAGAAGTAGGGAGTACCGTTCAATACCCTTGCTAGAAAGGGATTGCTGTTTATCGATGACCAGGCATTATTCTTCTCCTTCATGTTCTCCACGCGTATTCCCGCACTGTAGCACAGTGCAGTGTTTTGTCAGATTTCGTAAAAAAAATCCAATACCCTCGTTCATATTTCGCGATCCGATGCGCTCAGAGCGCAACGGCCGAAGGAGCTTCGCAGCAATCGTTAGAACATCGCGTGTCGGGGCAATTCGCTTGGAAAAAAAACCCTTCGGTATCGTTGTTTAATTTTCTTTGTGTTTACTTGCATTAGGTGCTTCTAAGCTATCGTCTCGAAGGACATATTCATCTGTCTCGACTTCCTGTGACGCCTTCTTGGTGACAGTATTGGGTTAGCCCAGAAATAGCGGCGTTTATTCTAACTTAGAAGTTCGAAGATGAATATTGTACCGTTGAGTTTTGTACAGTCTGACAGAGAATTCCTCACCCTATAGGACGGTCTCGCTAAGTTTTCTGAAGATTCTGTTCCAATTAATTATCAAGTGCCTCAACTGAAGTGCGAAGTAGACAAACTGAGCATTTTCTACACAGCCGTCCTTCTATTTATTATTTTTTTTTTCGAAAAATGAAGGTGCAGAGGCCTATTTGATAAGTATGTGACCAAGAAGTGCTGTCTGTTAGGAGGGCACAAAGCAGTGTTAACGATTAAAAGATTCAGACCTCCCAAAGCAGACAATGCCTTATTGATTACGACTTCTTTCTGGGAGGTCCGCAGCAGATATGGAAGACGGTTTCGTAATTCCCGTCCGAAGACCTTTCAGCCGGTATACATTTCATTTCAAATGGCCACTTCGACCTACCATCCTTCCCTTGTGAGCGAATATTTAGCGCCTATACTTTTACTCACTTTCGTACTGCAAGATTGAGAGACCGATGTCCCTTGCCGATGGGAGTTTCCAAGGGCCCTTTGAGACCAACCTATAAAGTGGCGTTTAAGTCGTGAAATAGCTTTACTGAAGAGTGTAATTGAAGCCGTGTGCAAACAATTGCGGACATCTTTCTTAAAAAATACATTCTGGTCCGTGTTAAAGGCTCCCTACTGGTTCAGTTGTTCTTCCACTATCCCTTTCTTTTAGTGAGAATGAGGTGAATCCGGCAGATTATAAGTTTAGCTCCCGGGTGATGCCGCTTGGGCGCAAACTATAAATCGGCGCTCTTACGCACTCAATTTCAAGCGCAGTAAGGATACTGTACCCTACCCGTTTGAGCAGGAAATGACATTGTTACGATAGCAAAGGCTTTTCGATCCATTTCAGCGATAGGCTGACTGAGACCAAAGAAAAACTTACCAATGTACATTCTTCTTAAAGGTTTCGTTTCCCAAGGCGACCCTGCTTGCGCAATGGTTGCCAGCAGCGCAGCCAAGAGCGTCCGAATTATGAAAGTGTTCGAGGAAAAACTCGGGTCGCCTGGTGTCACGACTTTGCGCGCAACTCGCAATTTTTGTGATAATTTTCGTAACCCGAAATTTTAAAAACACCTAACATACCTTATTCCTGTGCATCAACTCGATACATCGCGAGGGAATCCGAAAAACTCCATCTCTTCCTTTCACTGGCGTCACGTCCACAGGATCCCATTCAATAGGAGTTTTAGCTGCCTTAAATTAGACAGCAGAATCAATCACTAGAAAGCAAACTAATTAGAAAATTTGACTCGAAAGGGCCGGTAAAAGCTTGCTAACTACCTCAAAAATTTCTTGAACAGATTTCGAAATTTCTGGCCCAATCCCATCACCTGGGATGAGCACAACACGCCGCACCTAAAACCAAAATGGAGTAGTGGCTTGTAAACTAAAAAGAAGATGAAAAAGCAACTAGTAAAATACCTACATCTGTGGACAAACCACGAGAACCCATTTGAGCGACAGTGCCAACCTTCCCCAGACATTTGGCCAGCATCCTTCTAAAGCGAAATTACTGTAAGACCTTTTCAAAACAAAAACGTTGTAGGATACGTAACTACGAATATGGCGAACGGATGAGATATTCAGAAGTGCCATAACGGATGAGATATTCAGAAGTGCCATAAAGGATAAAGTCCGCGCAGTCCCTCTGTGGGATGCGGCACGCATTCAAAATCGAGGTGGCTGCTTGAATGCCATGTGGCTTATGCAGTGGCTTGTGGGGAGCCAGGAGCCAGCCGATGTACTTGTCAGTGTTTTATCATCCTAGACAAATCTGGTACCAATTCACGAATTCTATTTAAGATTATCACCTGCACTGTGGATCTCAAGGAGGGACGAAAGGACTCCGAGAGCATTTGAAAAGAATCGGGTAATCAGTTAGAAAGATGATAGAGTGATGCGG